ATATCTATATATATATATATATATATATATATATATATATATATATATATATATATATATAATAAACACGTCACAACACATAGACTAGACACACACACAAATATAATGAACCATAATCAATTGTTAAAACATGTTTTAAATTGAGTCTTCAAAATATCTTTAAATATGGCGATAGATGCTATGGATTCCATTCATTCATTCATTTTCTTGTCGGCTTAGTCCCTTTATTAATCCAGGGTCACCACAGCGGAATGAACCGCCAACTTATCCATGAAGTTTTTACTCAGCGGATGCCCTTCCAGCCACAACCCATCTCTGGGAAACACCCACACACACATCCACACACACACTCATACACTATGGACAATTTAGCCTACCCAATTCACCTGTACCGCATGTGTTTGGACTGTGGGGGAAACCAGAGAACCCGGAGAAAACCCACGCAAACGCAGGGAGAACATGCAAACTCCACACAGAAACGCCAACTGAGCCGAGTCTCGAACCAGCAACCTTCTTGCTTTGAGGCGACAGCACTTGGGTACTATACTATGGAGCATATTAGAGAATGCAGATCGACCTACTGTATAGCTCTGTGTGGGAAAATGACATCTTAGAGTATATCTGCTGCTCTGCTATTGTAACAGTCCTCCAACAAGTTTGATATGCTGAGGTAATTTACCAGCTAGAGCTTTAAAAATGAGGTTGTTTTCTCCTTAACTGTAATGAGGTCTGTTCTGTCATTATATATTAATCTCAGGGATGTGTGCGTGCACTTGAACCAGTGACAAATCTTATGGCACTGATACACAATATCCAATTCTTTAAGGCATTCAGAGGTGTGTGCATATAAAGTATATCACTGTAATTCAGTACTGATGGAAATCTCAACATTTTCGAGCTGCGGAGGAAACCCACGCCAACACAGGGAGAACATGCAAACTCCACAAAAAAACACCAACTGACAAAGCCGGGGCTGGAACCAGCGACCTTCTTACTGTGAGGCGGTTGTGCTACCCACTGCTCTACTGTGCTGCCCCTCAAAAAAATTTAACAGAGCATAAAGTTGCATTTTTATTTAAATTTAATTATTCAATTATTTGTCATAATTTTAAAAAGCTTTAAAAGGCTAGAGTTTTTGTCTTGTTTTAGTACAAATATGTAAATATTCTTAAATCAAGAAGCATTTTCTAGACAAGCAAAAATATTGTCTTGTTTAAAAAAATAGTAAGCCAAAATTAATGAGTTTTCTTTAAAAGAAGCAAAATAATCTGACAATTGGGGAAGGAAAATAATCTGTTACTGTTTAAGAAAAAAACTGACTTAATATTGATCATTTTAAGAAATAAAATGTAGAAATTAAGATTGTGTAATAAGAAAAAGACAGCAAATAAATAACAGACGGACGGACGGATGGACAGACAGATAGATAGATAGATAGATAGATAGATAGATAGATAGATAGATAGATAGATAGATAGATAGATAGATAGATAGATAGATAGATAGATAGATAGATAGATAGTTAGATAGACAGACAGACAGACAGACAGACAGACAGACAGACAGACAGATAGATAGATAGATAGATAGATAGATAGATAGATAGATAGATAGATAGATAGATAGACAGATAGACAGATAGACAGATAGATAGATAGACAGATAGACAGATAGATAGATAGATAGATAGATAGATAGATAGATAGATAGATAGATAGATAGATGTTGGATAGATAGATAGCAGCATACTGGACTG